CTTGGTGTCGGCGGCGAGGATGTCTTGCAGGTAGGCTCGGACCTCGCGATGGAACGGACGGCCCTTGGCGGCGAACGCATTCAACGTCGGCTGGGAGAAGACGCCGGCGAGGGCATCCTGCAGCTTCTGGTTGCCAGAGAAGCCATTTCCTTGGGTGAGGACATTGAGGTCCAGGGCGTACTCGCCGAGAGCGACGGCCGGGCGCGGGGTCGCGTCGGAGGATGTCGAGATGACGCCAAAGGGAATGTTTGCAAGGGAGAAGTGGCTCGAGGGAGAGACGTCAAGCCACGAGGCCCTCGGTGTCGATGTGGAAGAGGCCATTGTGCTGTCAATTGAGAGTCGTGCGATGTACAAGCGAGATTCTCAGGTAGCGAGATGTGAAAGAATCAGCGAAGGCGTACATGATGAATGCGACGGAGGCAGACAGCTTTGACACGGAAGATGAGCTGGTGGTGGGTGGTCTTGGGCCGGGCTTGTAATCCCGCCAGAAGCCGAGCGGAAGAGACGTGCGGAACGGCAGCACTGGGCTGGCCCACTTACCCCGCCGACCCCGCCATCAGCCAAAGTCGAAGTGTTAGTCAGCAGATGGTCTCTCGGTGTGATGTCAACAGCCTCCCTGAACACACCGAGGAGGGGAATTATGCCGTGGCATCGCGGTAATGGACAATTATTCTACCGGTAACGACTGGGAAAGCTCTATTGATACTTCTTGACTCAATCTTTCATCTTTCAAGCTTCCTACAGTCGATCCTCCTCCAGCACATTCTGGATCTCTTGGTCGATGCTTCCCAGAAGCAGCTCTTCATCCCACCGAGGCTTCCAGCCGAGTTCGAAAGGCTTCACGGGGGTGAGATCGATGCTATGGCTTGAGTCAGTTTACATTCTGACACGAATCGAGGTTTAATTACCTGTGAGTCCCCATGATTCGCACAAGGAAGACCGGAATCCCCAAAGCTTCCGCGGCGGCCTCATCGCTAGGCCACGTCCGAGGCTCCGGCTCCTCGACGAGATTGGCAGCATGGAGATGCTTCGCAAAAGCTGCCATTACTGCCCAGTTGGAAGTTTTGTGGCCCATAGGGAAGTAGTATCCTTCCTTGCCGCTACGGAGAGCCTTTCCGCTAAGGATGGCCTCGGTGAGAAGCCTGTAGAAGGACACCACGTCGGAAATGTGTGCCGCAGCAGGCGTCTAGAGTTGTCAGTCTCTGTAAATGATTGAACAGATCGGGATTATTAGACCTACTCCATCTTGGTCGAACTGATGGACCACCTTGGCCTTGATGCTGGCCCTGATGAAGATTGGAAACGCGAGGGAAAGCTTCTTGCCCTCGCCTGTACCCTTGCCATCTGTTTGTTGTTAGGGCACCCGAGTTGCGCCTGAGACCGGTTTGAACTCACAAACAGAGGGGACAACGACAATGAAGGTGTTGACACCTTGGGCCTCGCCTTCTTCAATGACTCGGCCATTCGTCTGTCACGAAGGTTAGTCCTTGTCTGACTGGGGGCACGAGTTCCATTACCAGACGGATTGGATGGTTTGCAGAGATCCTTCTCTCAATCTCGTACACGTCGTCTGTGTCTTTCACCTCTTCAGCCGGCCACCCTGCCTCTGGCGCAAACGCAGTGGTCCCCGAAGTCTGCCAGCATTAGTCACCTCAGCTTTGATAGACAAGCAGAACACTCACATGAACGAATGATGTAGGACGCCCCGTGATTTGGCGACGCCGTCCCAGCGCTGCGATCAGATGGCCCACGAGGCTCGGGTCATGCGAGCTGGCGATGTGCAACACGATGTCGACTGAAATGTTGTCAGCCAGAAACGCCCGAGCATCGAAGGATTGACAACCGCCTACTCTCCTGGCCCATGATGGCCGCCTCAACGGCCTTCTTGTCGGCGAAGTCCAGCTTGACCACATTGACACCCAGCTTGACAATTTTTTCGGCTTGGTCGGCTGAGCGGACCACGGCGGTGAAGCGAGCGTTCCTGATCGGACCTTCGTCTTGCTTCAAGAAGTCGGCAAGAATCGAGCCGCCACTAGGGATGTCAGGGTGGTGGATTTAAGTCATAAAGGCGTGCTTACATGTAGCCTGCAGCCCCTGTGATCAGAATGTTCTGAGGCATGGTGGAAGATTTGGAGTCATATTGTCTGAGGTCTGACGAGGCTTGACTTCGGGGAGAAGAGGAATCTCGTACCTACATTCGAGCGTATTTATACTCCCCGACCGAGGCCTTCTCAATCCTGATGCTCCAGCATTTCTTGCGCTTCCTGGCCATCTTGGCGTCCGTCAAGCATGGCGACCAATCGGCGGTTGGAACTTCGGGAGGATGAGCGGGACGGAGTTGCGCGCGTTTCCGTCAAGAACCCTCCGACCCTTGTCTCAATTACCAAAAGCTACTCCCACCTCGCTCTCACTCTCTTCCCGCGATTCCTTTCATCTTCATCATGGAATCCCGCGGGAATCAGGTCAAGAAGAAGGAGGGACAGCGTCCCCCAATCTCCCGTCGCTCAGTACGTTTCCGCCCCAAGCACCGCTGCGACCCCCGACAAAGAAGGATGCTGACTGCTGCAGTGTGATCATTGCCGCGCACGGAAGGTAAGATGACCTCCCAGCCGCCATTTCATCAAGTCTCACAAGATTGACTTCCGGGAAGATTCGCTGTGACAGGAAAACGCCATGCTCAAATTGCGCGTCAGCAAGGCTCGAGTGCATCCACAGCGCTGTGGCATCCAACACATCAAAAACAGGTCCCCGGCAGAGGATTCTGCTGTCGCAAGAATAGTGAGCTCACCAACCCAAAGTACTCTAGAGTGGCGTCTTATTCTTTCGGCGCACAGTGAGAAGAAGATCGATGGCATCGTTCGCGATCTTTCCGATATCAAGCAGCTACTGCAAAAGCCGCCTGAGACCTCACATTCGTCACTCATTTCCCTGAAGCATAGCGGGAACCAACTTTTCCCAAACATCTTCTCCAAATCGTTTGGTGCTCAAAGACAGTTCACCGTCAACACCAGCTACAAGCAACAGCATGGCGCAAAACTGGTCTCTCACATGGTCAACTTCATCAACTGCGTTGCAGACTTTCCGGACCCGGCCAGTCTTGGGACCGACTCATGGACTCTCATTTCGTCATTGAGAGCCAGTTCAGATGCCCTGAAGTACGAGATGGGTTTGCAATTCGATGACGACTCTACGCCCAGACGAAAGAATTGCGACGCGGACATATCCATGCCCCCGCAAGAAGCCGCCGTTTTAATCCTGCGTTGGGCCCGAGGTATGTACTTCGCATCACCCAATCTTGCACCGCATCTTACCATCTTACAGACGCCCAAAACCAACATGAAATTGCGTGGCTCTTCGATATTCTTCCCCTTGAGAGAATCTCGGACATCTGCAAAAAGGTGTATTTTGCGATTGATGACTATGAGGATTTGGACGTCGTCCTTGCCAGCGGTTGTCTCCGTTACCTCTTCATCGCGCATGCACGGAACACAGGCACGACGGATTGCTCTGTCTATACAAGAATGTGCCAGATTAACATCCGGAAAGTCACAGCACGCATGCCTCTCATCTTACCAGCAACTGGCGACGCGATAGCTGCTCTCGTCATATGCGTGCGTACTACCTTCACCACAGCCAGCCCCGCGGAAAGTCAAACTTACTGACTGAATGTTCTTCTGACAGTCATTGGAAGCCATGGAAAGTTGCGAGCTCGAAACAGCCTCGACTCTCATACTCAACGCAGCGAATCTCTGTCAGAGGTTCGGGCAGCAACACTTCGGAGCTCAAGATGCACCAGAAACCGCAAATCGCCGCCTCCTTTGGACAGTCTACAAGCTAGAACACGCCATTTCATTACGTATAGGTCGCGACCCTGCTTTGGGTTTCAATGCTCAAGTCCCTTGCGATACACAGGCGCGCCGGCTGGGCAAGCTGTCCGGACTTCTAGCCCGGGTGTGGAGCGCGGAATCGAAGCCCTCGGCGAGAGATGTGCAAGATCTCGTCAATCCCTTGGAAGATCTGAGGGACCAATCTCATGAAACTCGTGAGAGTCTAGTGAGACATAACTACACAACATATCTTTCTCTCTAGGCGGGCCTTCTAACCGATGCTGCCGACAGGTACACACTCCAGCCACGGGCTTCATACGTCTAGTTTGTCTTCAAAGCGAGATTCTTGCCCAGTCTTCGCTTCTTGGCATTTTGACGCCGTTCCAAAACTCGACATCAATCAACGACGTCGCAGCCCGAGATTTGGAAGTCGCCGTGTGTGTGGCTCGCAACATCATGGCTACGTACCGTCAATACCTCGACTGCCTCAAGGGGTACCAGACTATCCTTGACACAAGCCCCAATTGGTACGCATGAGATTCCCAACTGCTGGTCAGGTAGCTCACACTACAAGGTTCCTTCACAACACTCCATTTACCTCCTTTAGGGTTCTCTTCTCTCATGCAGTTCAGGCCCCAAGTGCTGACGACCTGTGTCTACTCGAGGCCTTCGCTTCATCTCTCAGCACATTTTGTCGGGGCTCCGAGATGAAGGCGCAGCCCATCCACGTTTACCAACTTCTCTGTCAGGCTGCCCGGTTCACATTGAAAGGCAGCTCTCCAGCACAGGGAACCCAAAAAGCACTGGTTAACCCAGACGTATCTTTACCAATGTTGGATCTTCTCCGCGACAGTACCAAAGCCTCTGAACCAGGGACACTTGAATCCCTGTTGGACGAGGAGTCACTGATAGAAGACCACGTTGCGGTGGACCTAGGGGACTGGTGGACTTTGGAAGACGACACCAACTCGGGCACAATGCCAGTGGCACAAGATAGGTAGAGACGAAGCTTTAGCTTAGATAGGGCATTCCAGTTCTCACAGACGCACATCACACCCAGGCAAGTCGGGCTCTACAGACACCGCCGCCCCCCACATGCTGGAGCAACTAGAAGGTGATAACCCCGTCTAGCTGCATGGCAGCGGGTCTTTTGGCAAAAAGGAAATGAGAACTTGTGCCTTGCCTGGATCGAACAGGCGACCTTTCGATTGTTTGATTGAAGTGTTACTTCAGTCGAACGCTACTCCCACTGAGCTAAAGGCACATGTTGATGTTGAGCTGCTCCATCGTGGCGTCCATGGATGGCACTGTCACGATCCAACCAAAGTCAACGTACTGGACATCAATTCCTCTCATGGTCACACGAGCAGGCCGAAGAAAACATTCGATACATGACATTCCGCTGTGTCTGGGCGGGTGAGGTAGACAGAGCTCTTTGCTTGAGTCAGTGGAAGCTTCCATTTCTGCCCATGGCGGGGGGAAGAGGTGGGATGTCGTCAACCCTCGGAACATCGACAGCTCGGCTTTCATAGTCAAATACTTCCAGGGCATCAAGGTCTTCGGCACCCACGCCCTCGACATCACTGGCGACAGCGGCGGTGGCAAGTCTCCTCTCATCCAAAACGAGCTGCTGCCGGGCCCGCCCCCAACTCCCTGAACAACGTCAACTGGGGCTCGGCCAACTTCATTCTGAAAGACCCCTCCTTCCGCTCGAACTTGGAGGCCGCCTATCCCTTCGCCAAGAACGGCCCTTGCAGGCAGTACTAGGCCTGATTTAGGGCGTCTGTGGATGTATTGGACGCAAAGGTGCAGACTTGTAGGCGAGTCAGGCCAAGAAGTGGTGGTGCTCTTCTGACTGCCTTATCAGATGTGCTCGTACATCCAGTACTTAATCCCGCTTCCGTCGAAGCCTTTGAGAAATACTGTTACCTATACACCAATACAACATGATGGAAGCCGAGTCATCCAATCTTCATGCCTCAAACGTGGTATTTTCAATGTCCGCGTCCGAGTCTGCACAGCAGTCTTCTCGGGCGGGATGATTTCTAAATGTCAGCATCAGTCGCGCCGTTGGACTAGGCCAGATCTTGAATATGTGGAAGAGGAGCTAGCTGCACATCTTCCTTGTCTTGGACTTGGTGCCACGGTAGTCAGGGGCTCAGCGGCGGTCAGCATGCCACAACATTCCAGTCCAGACAACAACCGACCGCCACTACAAGATGTGCAGATCTGCAATGCATTTGCGAGCGAATCACGGTCTGGTAAACACGCCAGAAAGGCTTAGGACAACAAAACGGCGGCCAAGTCCGATCATCCTTCTTCCATCCTCCCGAGACGTTGGAAGACCGCGGCGGGTTGTCCTCTTTCCGTGGCTCGGTTCCTTGCCGTGATCCCTTCGAGTCCGACCACCGGCTCGTCATCCGAGGAAACAAACGACAAATCCCCATCAATGGCGGGTTCCGCTGTCATCGTCAAACCCCGGGCTTTGTTTTAGCTCGTCTTTGCCCCCCTGGCTAGCCGACGGGACGAACCCGTCTGAAGTTGGCGCGGTCCAAAGACCCTCGGTGGCGCTGTCCAATATGGCAAGATGCGAGCGGAGACCTAAAGGACAAAGAAAGCGGAGGGTCATCGTCCACCCACAACCGTCGTCCACGAACGCGGTGCTCGGTGATTTGCTGCCGGGCGGCACTTCGTCTGGAATGCATCTTGGCTCGGGTCGCCAGGTTCCCCGCCAACAAGCGCGGGCTCAGGGGCAATGTCTCACCTTCTCACGAGCCTGTCAGGCTTGGCTCGTTCCCCGCCGGTTTTCGCAAAGGGGTGGTTCTCTGTGCAGATTCTAGGCCGGCGCGCCACCTCCTTGAGCTACACGTCGTACCCGAAACCAGAGGCTTGCCTTGGTACATTCCATCGCCGGAGGGGGCCAAGACCCTCGAGTACTGACAAAGCCCCCTGTGGCTCTCGTCATGGGCGAGAAGCTGAGGAGGGTGCAAGCCAGCGGGTCCTTGGCCGCAGCCATACGCGGGACATAAGCTCGAGACATAAACGCCCGTCATCTCTTCTCGATTCCTCCCCCCTTCCCCTGAAGTCCTTTAAGCTTGTATCCCCCTCGACCTTTATTTCTCTTTTTTCCTTCGCCCCGTTCTCTCATTTATCCACACTTCGACTAACCACCACGCGAGCTTCTTCCCTCTTTTCTGATTACCACGTTCTCCCCACTCTCTTTTAGATCAATATTCGCTCCTCAACTACCCAACATGCGTGTCTCGACCGGAGCTATCTGGGCTGTTGCCCTGCTGGCATCTGAAGCCGCTGCTCGGCCGTGGAGGTGGACTGCCCCGGGCGAGCAGGCTGACAATGGGTTCGACAAGGTGGCCGTCGACCACTGGCCCGGCGACAGGGTCATCGAGAAGACTGATCCGGTCAAAGCAGCCCCGGCCGGAGCCGGTCTCTCCGGGGTTCGGCCAGAAGCCGCCGCCAATGCCGTCCCGGCCGCCAACGCCGTCCCGACCGTTATCGTCAGCCTCACGACAGCCTCTGGAACACACGCGGCCACCGCCACTGCGATCCCCGATGTCGAGGCCGGCGCCAGCGGTGGGGATGCAGCCAAGGCTCTTGCAGCCCACAACGCCGCCCGCCAGGAGGTCGGCGTCGCCACCAACCTCGTCTGGGACGAAGGTCTCGAGGCCGACGCGAAGCAGTGGGCCCAGCACCTCACCACCGTCGGCAGCCTGGAGCATGCCAGCTCCTCGGAGACAGGCCAGGGCGAGAACCTCTACATGTCGTCTGTGCCAACGGACCGGCCTTTCGATCATGCCTCTGAGCTGTGGATCGCCGAGAAGTCCCTCTACGGCGGCCAGAGGGTTGGCGACGGCAACTTTGCCTCGTACGGACACTACAGTAAGCGAATGTGCCCAGGAGACACGCCATATACGTGTCTTGCTGACCATATCATAGCCCAGATCGTCTGGAAGTCCACTCAAAAGGTCGGCATCGCTTCTGCGACCGACAGCCAGGGCCGCGTCTTTGTCGTGGCCCGCTACTCACCTCCCGGAAACTAGTGAGTTCTTGTTTCGCTGGAACCTACCATGACGGATGACTGACTCGACTTTTAGCCTCGACGAGACGCCATACTGAGCGTGCTTCGCGAGGGGGCCGGTTTTCTTTTTTGTTCTTTCTTTTTGTCAATTCTTCGACAGAAATCTGTCAACTTACCGCGGGGCTGTTGAGGTTGCCGGCATGATGTACGGCAAATCATAGCGGCCTGAAGCTCAAAAATACAAGTTAGTATCAATTCCATGACTGCGCTCGATATGGATGTCTGTGAGGACCTGCAGGCGAGACTCGTACGCGCTCTGTGAGGTGATGCCGAACATGTTGTGAGCCTGACGAGAATGCATTCCAGGCGTTGGAGTTGTTGTCGCGGCTTACTCATCTTCATCCAGTGGGGTCGCCCACCAATCACGCCATCTGCGCCCTTTGTGCGGATTCGCTGCCGAATCATGACTCCGAGATACGGAAGCCAAGCATCGAGCGACATAAGGGACCGAACATAAGTAGGAACGGGGCCCATCGGCGAGACGCCGACACGCATGGTACGATGCATCAAAAACTCGTTTGCCCATCCCTCTCATGAGATTCAGCTGGCCTCGCCTCGCCATCTCAACCATCACAAAATCCAACATGGGCTCGCACGCCGCACCGCCGTTCGACGTCAAAAAGGTGGCCATCGTTGGCGCCGGCCCCGCGGGGTTGGCGGCGGCAAAGTACCTCCGCGCGCGTTCATGCTTCGAAACCATCACCATCTTCGAGCAACAAGACCGCGTGGGTGGTGTGTGGTACTACAGCCAAGACCCGCCGAGCAACCTCGATGTGCCGCAGACGACACCGTTCGTGGGGCCTGAGAAGCCACTGCCGCCGCGAAAGGCCGGTGAAGCGCCCGTCTTCCCGTCGCCCATGTATGAGCGGCTGCACGCCAACATCCCGAAGTCACTCATGAACTACGGCGACCAAAAGTTCCGCTCGGACGCGTGGGTGTACCCATCGCGCGAGCACATCTTCGAGTATCTCGAGAAGTATGCGGACGAGGTCCGACATCTGATCCGGTTCAGGACCCAGGTGCAGAGCATCAAGCTGCGGCAGGTGCACGGTGTCGACAAGTGGGATATCCGGGCTGTTTCGACGGTGGAGGGCAATGGCGAGGTGCACGAGGAGACATACGATGCCGTGGTGGTGGCCAACGGACACTACTCGACGCCGTTTATCCCGGCGGTGCCCGGGCTGGAGGCATTCCATGCGGCGCATCCGGGGGTCGTGACGCACTCCAAGAACTACCGGCGGCCCGAGGCTTTCGCGGGCCAACGCGTGGTGGTGGTGGGCAACGGGCCGTCGGGGCTAGACCTGGCGCGGCAGATCAACGGCGCGGGGGCGGCCAAGGTGTTCCTGTCGGTGCACAGCGCGACGCCCGCTGACCGTCTCGCTCACACGGGTGCCACCGAGCTGGGTGAGATTGTCGAGTTCCTGCCGGGACCTGGGCGTGGAATACGGATGGTCGATGGGAAGTTGGAGGAAGCCATCGACGCCGTAGTGTATTGCACGGGTTTCCTGTTCAGCTACCCGTTCCTCGAGGGCCTCGACCGGCAGCTCCTGACGACGACGAGGGGTCGAGGGCTTCGCGGGTTGTGGGAGCATCTTTTCCTGATCGATCACCCAACGCTGGCGTTCCCGGCGCTGTTGATGAAGGCGGTGCCGTTCCCCGTGGCAGAGGCGCAGGCGGCAGCTGCTGCGGCGGTCTGGGCCAACGAACTGCCGCTGCCACCGGTGGAGGAGATGCGGGCGTGGGAGGAGCGGTTGCACGAGGAGAGAGGCGAAGCGTTGCACACGTTCCCGGGCCATGGTGGCGATGGAGTCTACATCAACCAGATGCACGACTGGGTGCTGAAAAAGGCGGCGACGCCGGGGAAGACGCCGCCGTATTGGAACGCGGAGCTGAGGTGGCAGCGGTCCATCTTTGCCGAGGCCAAGCTGGCTTTTGAGAAGCAGGGGGGGACAGCGCGGACGCTGGAGGAGCTGGGGTTCGTGTATCCAGGGGATGATGCCTAGGTGATGGAAGCCTGGAAGGTGACAGGATAGAAGGCATTCGATGTCGAAATGATCTGGTGTTGAGATTGAGCTGTGCCCCTGGCAATTGCTAAACATCAGACGACAGCCCATCGGCTTTTCAAGGGTCAAAACGCAACTTGCATCTTGGTTCTGAGCCTCCCTGCA